CACAGATAAGGGGTGTGGCCAGATCTGCAGGTGCGTTGAGTGTTTCACTTCCCCTGTTTGCTGTTTTCAGGTGTCAGAATGGGCTATCGACTACAGCGTGTCTGGCGGGACGGACAGAGAAGGCTGGCAGTATGCAGCTGATTTTCCAGCGTAGGTTTCATATGCTGTTCCTGAAACCCCACCTGCTGCTTCACTTGGTTCAAACTATGATCTTGATTTATTTATCTTTCCTTTAATTCATTCTTTCGCTTCCCCATGTGTCTGTGCAGGTCATATCATGGCTATAAAACGATGAAGGACTTTGTGCGTCGTAGGCGATGGACAAGGTACTATAAAAAGCATTGGTCTGTGCACTATTTATTCAGCAGGTACACAGCACTCTGAAAGTTGCCATCCCTGTGTTTGTTTTTTAATCAGACTGGGACAAATGGGCCATAATCAGCACAATATATTATGGTGTTAATCATATAACGTTTGTTACTGTAGAATTTTAAATTCTGGAGAGAATCTGAAATAATGTGCAGGAAGGTATTTAACTGAAGAGATTTGTTGTCAAGGACACCTGTTTATTTGGCCTTAATGCGCAGGAAGTGTAAACTGACCACTACAGGACCTTGGCAAGAAGTTCCCCCCATCGCACTAAGTGATGTGACCATCCTGCCATGTGCAGCTCAGAGCACCGTGGACATGGTTCCTGTGTGGGCGATCAGTAACAAGGGCGACGTGCTTTGCCGACTGGGAGTCACCGCCCTGACGCCTGCTGTGAGTCATTAATAATATGCAAGCGGACACCAAATGAACTGGTTTAACATCTTTGGAGAGCAACCATTAAAGCTTATTGTCATTTTTTCCGCTTGCATAACAAATGCACGCAAAGTACAGAGAGGTGCATTAGCACGTTGTCACTTATTTTTACTGTGGAGGTTCTTTTAGTTCTAATGTGGGCTTCTAGTGTGGAGAGTTTGAGAGATATTTGCATTTATTTCAAATACAACCACTTCAGTCAAAAGAAGATTGTAATTTCTATCAGCAGGGCATTAATGACAAGAAATATGATATGGTGATAATGATGACTGACTAAGTCAGACGTTCCATGAATAGGAGCTGGTTGTGGGTTGAAAAGCGGCTTGCAGCATGCAGATTTGCCAGAGTTAGGGTAGCTATATTTGGCTTAATTTCTCATTTGGAGAAAGATAATTATTGTATTATTTTATGCTAAATTTATTAGTGCTTCTAAAGACAAAAAAAGAAGGAAAAAAAAAAGAAATGATGTTTATCAATGGACCAAAAACCTCCAAAGTTTCTTTTATTTCTGTTTATGAACATCTGAATATGGAGAAGCAGGTTTTTGAGAGGCAGTGCTTTCTCTGTCTGCTCTCTCAGGGATCTTCATGGCTCCACGTGGGAACAGACCAGCCTTTCAAGTCCATCTCCATTGGGGCTGCCAGCCAGGTGTGGGCTATTGCCAGGGACGGATCTGCCTTCTACAGGGGATCTGTGTCACCACAGAACCCGGCAGGTCAGTGGGGAAAAAATGAAAACTGAAAGTGAAGGCTGAAATTTTTAATTGCATTTGTCATGTCTGCATATTGAAATAAAATTTACTCAAGCAGATGCATTTTACCTGTGTTTTATGTGTGCGGGTGTCTCCCTCTGCAGGAGATTGTTGGTACCACATCCCATCTCCAGCCAAACAGAAGCTGAAGCAGGTATCTGTGGGAAGAACATCGGTCTACACTGTAGATGAGAACGGTAAAGCACAAAACGCAGCACAGATTTTTATTTACAGCTTAGGTTTATAAGTTACTTTTATAGATGAATGATGTAGTGTGTTCTGTTTATAGTTCCTGGTATGTATTTTTACGAGATGTCTGATGTGGGTGTTTTTCTATCAAGGTAACCTGTGGTACCGACAGGGTGTGACCCCCAGCTACCCTCAGGGCTCCTCCTGGGAACACGTATCTAACAATGTCCGCAAAGTCTCTGTAGGCCCTCTGGACCAGGTAGGACATTATGGCACCACCTTCATCCATTTCATCCTTAAAAGCTGAATGCAGTTAACAGATTTCACCTCACATATTTATAGGCATGGAGGTTCAGACTTCTTGTCTTTCTAATTTGTGGCGCTTGTAATGTAAAAGTGATTCAGTTCAGGGAACACGTACCACACCGCGTGTTTATTTGTGGGTGATTTTGTTGCTTTTGTTTTGGGGCTGCAGGTATGGATCATAGCAGACAAGGTGCAGGGCAGCCACAGTCTAAGCTGCGGGACGGTGTGCCATCGACTCGCAGTCCAACCCATGCAGCCCAAAGGACAGTCCTGGGACTATGGCATTGGGGTAAAGAAACCGAACAGTATGACTGTAAAATAACAGTTTCTGAACAGTTTCTAACTTCTATGCTAGTTTCATTTTAGTGGAGAGAAAGAATATCAACCAAAAACACATGATCTCGATTTATTTATCAAGATCCTCAGTGTGCTGAAGTCGTCATGTACCCTTTGCAGAAAAACAGCTCCAATATGAAAGCAATTCAGTTTCCATCCAGGTGATCAGGAGTATTTGCGATTGACTGGACTGATTGTAATCTGTAATCTTAGTTCAGTCAGTGATTTGCAAATCAATTTATAACATTTAACGTAATATGATTTTTCTGGATTTTTGGTTGATATATATCTCTTTCCAGTAAAGTAAAACTACCATAACAAATTAGAAACTACTTGTTTCTTTGTGAGTGAGCAAACTTATTCAACATGAGGTCCAATAATTTCCTCTACTGTGTATGTGTCATGAGTGAATTATCACCATTTTTTTTACTGATCCTGTCCTTCCCGAAATGCAACAAAATAAAGGCATATTGTTATCACAGTAATGCAGCATTTTATTGGTAGTTGTTGATATTTTGAGCACTGCAGTCTCCAGCAGATATATTTATACATCACATTTTCCCACAGACTGTTATCTGCTCTATCTGTCTCCTTGTTTTTTAATGCTAAAAAGCATCATCAAGCATCCTGTGCAGCTTGTTCAAGTAAAGTAAACGCTGCACATAATCTGGGGTGTGTTCAACATGCTAATTGTAATATTATTTTCTTTTGGCTTGTTTATTTTTTTCATTAAAAAAAGAGGGGTCACATTTTATATGTGCAGTTTTTATGGGGGATTTTTTTAAATATGAGTTGGATGGGAGGTGTTGAAAACTACAATTACCAACACAAAGTATATCAAGCTTATTGCCGTTTGAAAAAAACAACAACAGTAGAGTAAATATTAGTTGCTGGAACACTTCAGTCTTCATGTGCAAACTGCAGTAGAACAACAACAGAAAGGTGTGGCTCCCAGTTTTCAAGGCTTTGTTTAGTGCTTATAGACAGATGGTAAACAAGCTTATCCTCAGTAATAATAATTATCACCCCTGTGTCACTGTTTTTAGGGTGGATGGGACCATATCACAGTGAGAGGGAACTCTGTAGAACCGCCCCACATCCGTTTTCCCTCTCTAACAGACACGTCATCCCCTCGGAGCCTGCTGGAAGTCAGGAACACGGAGGTCGACAGCAGTACTTCAGGATGTTAGACAAACACAAATTTGTGCACACAAACTGTATAAAAAGAAACAAAACTCAGATTACCTTTGTAGTATTTTTTTAAAGCACAGCTTATTTTAACACTGGAATAGCAAGGTGATCCTTAAATCCTGAGGTTGGAGTTTTCACACCTTGTGAGCCGGTGAAACAGAGCAATGGATCTCAGACAATCAGAGCCATCTCTGATGACAAACATGCTTATCTGATCTGTCCCTGTGTTGTTTTTCATTTGTACTAGGCATTCATGTGATGGTCACGGCATTTTTGTGTCTGTTTCTGTAAGTGCGGTTAGTCTTTTGCCATTGAACTTAGTGGTCTTAATTCATTTTTGTCCTTATTTATTAATCAGGATGTGATGTTCATGATATGTGTGGTTTTTGTGTATAGATTACCACAACAAGTTAAGGTTAAGATGGTAGGGGGGGTTTATATGAAAGATGTATATTTTTTAAAATGTGCTTGAATTGTAGTTGAATAGTTGCTGGACCACCAGCTTCAGAATGAGTGTTATTTTGCATTTTATCCGGTGAGCAACAAGTCAATAGGGCCAGTTAATCTGAAGTTTTATCTTTGTTTACTTGTCTGCTCCTTTTGTCTGCTGATCTGGCACAGCATCTGCACTACTGAATACTTTTATGTGCATCTATGTGTCATCATTTGGATTCTGAAGACAAGAATTGGGGTGATTATTGCATGTAAAAAGTCAGCTTGTGAGGTAAACTGAACCCACTGTTAGCTGAATGACACTGGCTGAGAGAATTGTAAAAATACACTCCAAAACACGCTGTGTAATTAGCATTAGTCACTTCTAATCAGTCAAGTATTGTTTCTAGACAGATCGTAGAGATTTACCCATGGACTGCTATTTGGTGCCAGGATGTAGCAGCTGTTAGAACACCTACACTGGTTTAAACTTACACATGCCTTGTGCAAAGACTTCTGATGTTATTACCTAAAAAAAAAAATCTATCATTATCATGAAGCATGTACACTGGTGAATATTGTAAAAAAAAAAAAGAGGAAAATTACTGTAGTCTTATAGCTGAAACGCTCAAACGGAACCTTCCTCTTTCTCAGGAGTGCTGCATGCTGTTAACTTCCTTTGACATAATGGTTGTAGAATGACTGAGCAGTAAGGGGGGAAAAAACATAATCTTTTGTTGCAAGACTGCAAAATACTAGTATCTACTCAGTATAGTGGCAGTTGTTATATTACACGGACTACTAAACATCATGCATGGGCATCAGTTTATGTCAATAGCTGCTTAAATGCACCTTCGCTGTCTAAACCTGCTGAACTATTTGTAAATGTTGCAAGTGAGATCTCTATCTGTGAATACTGAACATTGTGTGTGGTCAAAAAAAGAAACAGTCTGTGTCAATAATAAATACATGTATTTATTAATAACAACTTCTCAAATGTTTTTTTTTTCCCCGTTATGATGTTTCACACAAAGTTTGCAGCTTAAACACACATTGAAACACAGCAGGGAGAGGGGATAAGCAAGTAACATACACGTTAAATAGCATCTGTGCCTTTAAGAACTCTTCTGTGTGCAGAAGAAGAGAAATGAGCTACGCGTTCAGATCAAGGGTGGATTATCATTGTGAGCGCTTTCTTGCAGCAACACCTCAATATTTAAGCCTTCTGCTTGGTTGTCTTTCTTTCATGGATGCAACAGTTATGGCTCGAGGTTACACTGAGCAGGTTTCTCAAGAGTCGATACAAGAAGATGGCAAGATAACACAAAAGAGAACAATCCCCTTCCCCAGTTTAAACCACAACACGCAAGAAGAAGAAGGAAAAAAAACATGAGGGTGAAAAAAAAAGCAGCCCTTCTTTCCTGGGCACATACATTACACAACTATGGTCCATTTGGTTTCACTTTCCAGTCTGCATTCTTCATGTCTGCTGTATAAAATCCTTCCATATTTTGCATGGAGTTCTGCACAGCTCACCTCTTGCTAGCATTTATTAGAGGTCTATGATCTGGGGGGGGAGCCCACTTCCTACAGAAAACACAGCTGAACGTCTCTAAGAGTGTGACTGTAGGAAGTGGGTAATGTTTGATTTGTCCAGCCCTCCTCCTGGTGGCTCCCCTTGCTTTAATCTTACTGTTAGCTTTGCTGGCTGAAGCTATGCATGCTGGTGAGGTATTGGGTGAGACCTTCCTCCCCCTCTTCCTCCAGGTGCTGCTGGTAGCACTGGAGGAGCTTGGCAGCGCTGGCCTCTGAAGGGACCCCGCCAGCAGGCAGGCAGCCCCCTGACATATCCAGGATGATGGTGGTCAAAGCTTTGATGTAATTCTTAGCCAGGGTCAGCGTTTCGATCTTGGACAGCTTCTTCTCGGTTTTCACATGCGGGATGGCCTCGCGCAGCGCTTGGAAGGCGTTGTTGAGTTTGTGCATGCGCTGGCGTTCCCTTTCGTTGCTTTCCAGTCGACGGATGCTGCGCTCTTTGGTGCTGGAGCCGTGCTTGCGTCGCCGGCCTCCTCCCTGCCTCTTGCCATTGCCGCTCCTCAGAGAGCCCCTCCAGGAGCCACGGATCCGGACCGAGGCCTCTGAGCCTTCCTGCTCGCTGGAGCCCGGCTCTGTGTCTGGCTCGAATTCCGGCTCCGGGTCGGACCAGGTCCTTCTGGATGGCTTCACAGCCTTCCCTTTGGATTTCATCTTGCTACTCCCCTTATCTCTGACAGAACAGATCTCAGGTTCAACAAACCTGGAAGACAAGATAGGAGTGTTAAGGACAAGAAAAAAAGGATATAAAGTGGCCCGCTTCATAGTTTTCCTTCAGTCAGCTCCAGTTTAAACAACTTGGCATCCTGTTGTATCTAATCAGACTCTTGCAGTGTGAAAACTCCATGATGTTGGTCTGTTACTCCACACTTCTTACCCCACAGTTCAGAGATAATACCCATGTCAAGGTTACACTCACAAAAACAGACCTGGCAGCTCACAGCAACAGCAAAGCTTTTTAACTTCACTTTAACTCACTGCATAGTTTGGTTTCACATAATAAGACTAAACCATCAGCTCCTAAACTTATTTAAGAAGAGGTTCTATTACTATTATATATTTTAAATGTGAATTTACAAACAGTGACAGTTTAAACTATACTATCACACGCTGTCAGATAAAGCTGTTTTACATAGATAAGTACGCACAATAAAAAAAAAAAACGTGTATGTCTCCATCATCGTCATTATTTCCCTAACCTCAGCTTAATCACACCAACGGCAGTGCTGTGACCGATATGAAGATGAGCAGACACAAGTCAAATTCACTCACAACACAAATGGAAGGGAACTAAAAGCCTTACCTGGGAAATTATACTAATATTCTCCTTCCTGTTTCTTTTTACAGAAAAGGCGTCAGCATGCAGCCGGACATGATCAGCGACATAAAGTCAATTAAAGGAGCAGTGGGAATGAAGGAGCGCGAGAGGAGCACATCAGCGCGAGGCTCACAGATAACTGTCACACGTGAACGGCTACCTGTTGCTAACAGATGTACACGTCGCGCTGTTCAGCCAATCAGAGAGACAGCCCTTTCCCCCGCTAGCTCCACCCTCAACCCTAAACCTCCCAACAACCTGCTGCTGTTGCTGCAGAAAGCCACAGATGTGCAAGAATTATACTGAACTTACATTTATACTAGGATGTTTTTGATTTTGATTTTTGGGGGATTCAGATTAACTTTGGCTCCCACTAATGTTTTCCAACGATACTTAGTAGTTGGTGGAAGCAGCATTCAAATCCAGGGATCATCTTATATAAAACATGGTTAGGGAGACAGATCTAAGTGTCCTGCAGGCTGTGTGCTTTAATATCTGTGCTGTTCATTTGAGAAAAAGCACAAATAGAAGTCAGAACACGACTATTCAGTTCAGAAAGTGAAATACGTGGAGTACTTTTATAAAATATTAACTAAATAATTGGTTGAATATGCGTACTTACCATTCACAAGTTCCAGCTGACATTTGCATAGATTCTGAGAACAGTGAAAATTTGTGTGCAGTAGTTCAGTGATGAAAAAAATATTTAATTGAAACCCTTTCAGTGTTAGTTTGGCCAGTTTACCTGGTGAATTAGGAATATTCTGATGTGATATTTTTGCGTTTCCTGCTTCCCATTTCTAGAAAGTGTAGTCGTTTTGCAGTTGACAAGCAAAATGTTAAGGATTTGCTGGCTAACTAATGTAACTGAGGAGTTTTACTTTACTGTATTTCATTTAAAAAAAAATTTAAGGCAATATAAAGAGATTGCAGTGGTGGAATTGAGTGGTATGGTCTAATATTTTAAAAACCCTTACAAAAACTGTTCTTTTTTCCATACTGTTCTGCTGATAACATGCTCAGCAACAGCATTTCCAACTGTTAAATGCTTTTTTATTCATTCAGGTGAATGCAAGTAAACCTTCTTCTTTTTCTGTTAAGCTGCAGACGTGCTCTTACCTTTAAGACAACTGTAGTAAAGTTAGTTCGTCTGAACAGTTAACATATTTTCCATTGTGACTTATCACCTTCTGCTGCTTCATTTGAATACAGTCCTCCAGGCTACAGCTGAATGTAGGCCTCGTTTAAACTTTGCTCCAATATTTGCTTTTCAACAGACAAACTTTTTGAGCTGCATTTTTTGCATTACATTACTTCTGATGGACAGCCTCAGGCCACTAGAAAACTAAAAAAAACACACACATTACAAAAAACATGCCATAAAAGAAAAGCAGAACAACTGCAATTATTAACACGCTCCTTCTTCACATGGAAATGTGATCTGCAGTAATCCAACTGTTTAACTTGGCAGCCTAATGCAGCTGTTGGCAGTTAGGATTACCTTATGTTGTGGTAGCAAGACTACAAAGACAGGGAGGAGTCACTACGGTGAGGTATACTGACTGTTCATCAGTGTCTGCATTTGCAGTGTCTGCAAACATCTGGAAGATTATTGACAAACCCTGATGGTTTTCAATTCCACATTTTGCTTCAGTGACACATATACACAGGCAGAGAGACTCACAAGGTTAAATGATTGCAGTTATGCTATTGCAGAGCATAGATACTGGATGTTTATATATCAGGTGATGATTCCTCATTTGGGTAGGCAGGAATACATAAAAATTTAAAACAATGTTGGGGAAGGGCTTAAAGTAATGGGGCAATGGGCTTGTCGCTTCAAGCTACCTGCTTTTAACATTTGAGTTTTGGTGTTTTGAAATTCAATGTGGCGAATGAGAGGTGACTCTGACTGTGAATCTGAGACACAGTGCAGGCTCGTGGGATAGCAATTTGTCAGTCATAAGACTGACCCTGCTTTATCCTCCCTTTCGACTCTAAAGGCACCCATAATTTCCAGAATTAACATCATGTTTGATTTGGGGAGGTCTGAAGCTAGTGATGGAGAACATAATCTGATTAGAAAGCTGTTTACTGAGTTCAAAGGTCAGGAGTGCCGAGGGCTGTTTTCTCATAGACTTCTACAGTATCAGTACAGTATTCAACAGTATCTATCTTTTAGAAACCACAGGAGTTGCTCCTGACTGGCGTCCACATATGTGGACATCACATTTTGGGTTATTTAGACCAAAATACTAAATTATGCTCTACAAGGGCCTGATATCTTGGCTCTTATTTTTCTTAAAAACAAAAATAAGGTAAAAACGAGGGTTAAGACACATCCACATTGGCCTCACTTTTCAGATCTGGACACTATGAACCAGTTATGCGTCGGCGGCACGCATTCAGCTTTGTGTGCTTATTCTTACTATATGGCCTACACACTCACAAGACCAAAACAATGGTGTTGCTGTTTGTGACGAAACAAATCTCTAGAAAACATACAAAACTTCATGTCTATACACAGAAACCACACTGCTTCATGACAGTTGGCCACTACATTTTTTCTATTCAACAATTTAATGGCTAATGGATTTCTTATTATTTTAGTTACTCCCTTTAGGGGTCGCAGTGGATTATCAGCCTCTATCTCACTCTATTTCTATCATTCACCTTGGTCACTTCAACCCACTACTTGTCTTCCTTTGCTCCATCCATGAATCTTCTCTGAGGTCTTCCTCCTTTCCTCCTGCCTGGGAGCTTCATCTTCAACATCTTTGGTCCAATCTTTCCTCTGCACATGCCCAAACCATCTCAGCCTCACCTCTCTAACTTTTTCTCCAAACCTCTTAGTCTGAGCATTAACAACATTAGCACAGTGTTGGGATGTCACAGACACAGCAACGTTACAGGTGTGAAGCTCCCAGCTTTTAGAAGCAAACACTTCCAGCATTTGATGCCCTTGAGCAGCTTGTATGTGTGTGTGTGTGTGTGTGTGTGTGTGTGTGTGTGTGTGTGTGTACTTCTATTACTTGTGTTGTGGGAACATAAACCTGTTTACACAGTCACACAGTGGGGACTCGCCTCCCATATAAGGACAAAAGCCCCAAAAGTCCACATAATGTCAATCATTAGAGGATATTTAGGAGGACGCTTGGCTTAAGGTTACTATAAGTCTCTAATAAATGAATGGGATTTATTTTGATATCTTCTAAAGAGTGTGTGTGTGTGTGTGTGTGTGTGTGTGTGTGTGTGTGTGTGTGTGTGTGTGTGTGTGTTTGTGAACAGTAAGACAGGTCCTGCCAGGTTTCCTTCCCTCCTCAGCTACATTGTATCTAATCAACCAAACCTTGCTGAAGTTGCCTCTGTGGAAATATTATCTTTGCGCTTTAGTGTGCACAGTTTCTGCCTCCATTGGCCCTAAGGCTTACACTGTTTATTTTACCACAGCCACTGATATGTTCTGAGCTCAACACACTTCAGTAATGAGGCAAGCAAACAGGGCCCCCGCAAGCATGCTCTGTTTGAGCAAAACAAACCGTATAAACAACATATTTTCTTCAACACCAACATTAGCCTGAAAACTACAGCAATTTAAAGATAAAGCGCGACTGCAGAAGCACACAGGAGTTTGTTAAACGCACGTAAGTTTCTGTTTCTGTTTCCTACATCGAGTCCAAGGACGCAACCTGGCATAAAGAGTAGCTTCCAAAGCAGTTTGCAGCTGGAAAGGCACCAGCACTCTTATGCAACTCTTATTTACTGTTATTTGACATCATGGGCAGTAATCTTGTCATACCAACAACTGTGAAAACTGAATGCGCTGTCAGAGAGTCCTGCTCGGCTGTGATGTCATGAATGACAAGTGCGCTGAATCTATTTGGAGCAAAGACGGAGTGAAAAAAAAGCTATTAAAATCCCTGACTCATCATAAAAGGGGGAGGGTGGGTAGGAGATGAGTTAGGGTGAAGAGGAGAGATCTGGACGATTAGTCAGTTTTTCCATTAGGCCAAGGCTGGCTCTCTGAAAGAAAAACAAGTGTGGATGTCACATTAGGCCATGGCGACAGTGAGATGGCCTTAGGCTGAAGGCAGACATTCTGATAGAAAGGCTGTCTTTACTTTACCACGTTTCATAAAAATCACCACATGCAGCTCAGTATGTGTGTGCATTTGCGTGTCACTCACCCTTATCTCACTCGAGGTCGGACTCAGTGACATAGGTGAGGAAAAGGCAGGTTTGGGGTAGACAGCCATTCTCTGGTCTGGACTGGGCGGTCCGGTTATGTGTCTGCAGTAGGCTGTAGGGATGAGAGTGCCCGTCATACTGAAAATGGCAGCTCTTCTCCAAAGCCGAGAAGTCATCCTCCCATTCGAAGGCTGCACGCAAAACCAACCACATGTATAATTAGCCACACTGACAACTGTGTGATATCCTGCAGTGCACGGTGCAACCCTTGGTCTTTTTACATTGTCATAAGCCTTTTGTTTGATACAGATAAAAAGATAAAACTGTTAATAACACTGCCAAATATTATTTAGAATTATACTGCTGTTGCTGATGGTGATAACATCACCATCATATTTTATGAGCTCATTGTTCCGTCTCTCTGTAAATAAAAAGGAAAAAGTGATGTAAAAAACACAGTAACTTAAGTGTAGCATTACTTCAGTCAAACTGATGACATGGCTGATACTCTTATCTCCATCAAATTGATAACTGTCATGTACGCCAGCCTTTCTACAGCTTCATCTGCAAGCCACTTTGCAACCCACCTCGAGCCCAGCTCCTTCTTTTCATGCCGACTCCAATTTTGTTGCTATGGATACCTGCAATAGTGAGGTATTGCTACTGCTCTCTCTGGCTCAGCTTTACATGATGATACTACTAAATATAAATTACAGCATGAATGAATGTGTTAAGTAAAAGTGTAATATGTTTCACTGGTGCAGTGTGTGTTTTGCTCTTTTTCTAAATAATGGCATACAATCTACTTGTGTAAATCTTGAAGACATTACCATTATCTTCTAATGTGTCGCCTGGCAGGTTGGAGGAATAGCTGCTCATCAGAGACGTGTAAGACTCAAAGTGCATCTCCAGAGTTGGACTCTCCTAAGAATAAACAGGAAGTATTCAGTATTCAGTAACATGGTTGAAACAGTCCTGTTAAAAACATTTAATAAACACATTATTAGCTACAAAAAGATAAAAAGCCTCAAAATGCATTAAAATAAAGGTTAAAGTAGAACAGGAAATCAGTACCTGATCAAACAGGTAGACAATGACATCATCATCAAATGACACACTCTTCCTTATTTTCACTTTCCTGTCCTGTCCGCATGATTCTCCTGGATGATTGTAGTTTTGAGAGGATGTTGGAAGTCTTCTTTGGTTGGCAGTATTTAAATTGTCTCTGTCAACATTTTCCCTCTGGTCATTCTCAGAGATAGTGTTCGGACAGAAGGGGCATTGGACAGTGGAGCTTTTCATAGCTGTCGTATTGTTGTTGTCACTGATAAGACAATCACTATTCCCAAGAAAAGTATTGCAATTCTGCAAGGAGTAAATGTCACTAAAAAGTTGTGCTGGCATACAGTCATCGCTGAAACTGATAAACTTATTGTGGTGATCTTGGCGGGCGGCCATATTGAAATTTTTTGTGTTAAAACTGTGTCCCACACATTTAAACTAAGTCTTGTCCAAGTGGGGAATCTGTACCAAAAAGATCAAGCAAAGCAAACGCTAGTTGCTTGATCCGTCGGCGCTGGCGACAGAGGGAGAAGGATGATGATGCTGTTACCAAGCTTGATCTGGAGTCAGTGCTCCTCCACGGTTCACAGGTTGAGCAGCATCTTTGAAAGCAGAAGCAGGTGACTGGTAGTCCCTCCTCGTCATCCTGTATCATCTGACCTGAGGACATCCACAAATGAAGCTCTTCATCCCTGTATGAATGATTCACAATGACTCAAACAGCTTCACCTCAAACTAATTAACGCACTAACCTACTGTCTGACCACCTACATGTGTTTCTTGCCTTGCTGTTGTCGTGGTGATGTTTGTGCTCTCAGCATATTCACAGATTGGCAAATACTTCAATGAATACAGAGATAATACAAATTATATTAAAATAAAATTCATTATGTAGGCTAATACACTCACTATGTTATAGTTATAATTTAAAAAACCCCAATCTATATAGAATATAATTTTACTGTTTGCTCATTTAGTAAATTCTTGTAGCCAAACTGATTTTACCAGCTACAGTACCAATGTTTTTTCCACTTATTTACAGGTTTATTTCCCTAAGAATGTATTTATTTACCTTGAGAATCTTAAAAAGCATATAGTGAAATGATAGTTGGGAGTGGAACAATTTATTATATTTTGTACATTTAGCATACACTAAATCCAGACATGTGACTAATGAAAGAAAGAATCTTGAACTTGTGACTCCCTAAGTTCTACTTGGAGTATTAGAGGGAGGGGGCACTGCAAATCCTCATAAAGTGATTTACCTTTATCCTATGATGTAATATTTCTATCCTATTAGAAGACTTTACACTCCTACATAGCACCTACTTGAGGTGGTGCATTGATTTAAATACAGAAGTTTCACCCTTGCAAATATTTTTGTAAGGAAGCACCCCCCCCCCAAATTCATGCAGCATGACCAAAGATTTGATTCTGCAGTCATGACAGAATAAAGATGGGAAGAAAGAAGTAGTGTGAGGACCAAGCTACAACACGCATGCCTTTATTTACACCTCCAAATAAGTCCATATAACAACATTGGACCGTCACTGCAGTCCAGTAGGGTTGGAGAGGCATGTAACAAAGGAAGAGTCTGAAAATTATGTGAATAACATGTTTGAAGTCATCAGATTTTTATTATTAATCCTTTATTTATCCAGGTAAAAAATCTCATTGAGATTAAAAATCTCATTTCCAAGAGAGACCTGGCATCATGGCAACAAAAGTCACATACCACATAGGTATATAACATTTAAAACAAATGTCAACCCAAGATCTCACTTGAGAGACTGGTGGCTTCTTTTTCTTTCTTTTTTTTTTAAAGAATGGCGCACTGTCGTTCCTGAATAGTTCGAGAAACAAAGAAAATCAATTGCAAGGAACAATGAGGCTGTTCTGGAGGTCATGCTGGTACACTTAATATTGGGTTTTCCTTTAATATGTCACCAATCTCCACAGTTTCATCACCTACCAGCTAACGGTGTTGATGGCACATGCCAGTTAAAATTAAGTAGTCAGTGCTCAGGCTCAAATTGCCTTTTAAAAATTATGCCCCAGTAGCTTAAATATTGAAATGGACTTTTTATCGCCTGGCCAAAAACATTTGGATGTTGATGGTGTGAGAATGGAACCTGTCGCAATTTTAAAAATATGACTAAAAATGACATGCATGCTTTTTCTAATTAGGATTCTCTTTTGTGTCTCCTCTAAATACAATTCCTTGGCAGTGTCAGCTTATTAAGGGTTCAGTTGCGGTACCCAGACATCCATTCAGTGTCTCTCAATAACAGGATGTGCTGAAACTGATTTGTCAGCCTTTGCCCGTTGGCTGAAGCAGCGACCGCAGATGCACGCATGCACACAAACACGTACATTATTTGAACACTCACTCCTGAGCCTGAATAAATATCGAAGCCCATCCGTCCACGGAGACAAAGACGCAATAGGAAACTTTCACCGCTCTGCAGTAACCAAGCAACCACTGGATGAGTGACTCAGGAAAGGAAGAGAGGAGCTGACTCACAGCAGCTGTGACGTAAACGATGTGAAAAGACACACACACACTCTCATGGTCGCACACACACGTATGCAGCAGGCCGTAAAGCCTGTAATCTGCCCTGTTTCGGGTAAATTAACACCTCACTGTGTAACAGGTGGACAGACTCGGGATAAGATTATAAATCTTCCAACCAGCCAAACCATGAACAGATACCTCAAAGGTCTACAAGTAAGAAAAGGAAAACACTGCACATTACACCCTTAGTGTCTCCAATTACTACACAGACTCCAAGGCATTATTAAAAATCAAATGATACCTTTTCCTTATTCCTTTGTTAGTGCATTTCCTCTTAGAAAGCAAGTTTAAACTATCCAATGAAATCACCAGTGCGGCTCCACCCCCGAAATGTTTTAACTCTGTAAAAATAAAGAGAAGAACCTGTTTATCAATTTATATGCGTTGCTGCATCATGACACTGCATAATGTGTTGCACCATAATCTCTGAGCAGCAGCAGCAGGCATGCACAGTACCAGCACATGTCTTTTCTTACCTTGCATTCAGTCGGCCCAAGTAAGTCCCCTGATTTTAATGCATTGCAGGAACCTTATCGAGGAAAAAACAAGAGAGATAAGCTAAGCATACTGAGATGAGAGAGAGAGAGAGAAGAGACGGAGAGATGCACAGAAAAGCAGTTGGTGGGGGTTGGATGTGCAGTACACTCTTCCGGGAGAATTCCCGGCAGCAGAGTGCAGGACGGGGATCAATAACTTATCCCGTCTAATGTAACACATCTGTCCTTGCTGATGGAGAATTGCAGCAGAGTGAATGTCACAGTGACATGTAGACTTATAGAAAATCTGTGATACTTTGTGGCTGTTATATTATTCTCAAAGATGTTACAGCATAAAATAAAAATGAATTGAGGATGCCAATTCATTTTTTTGTCCAGGTGCGCCTTTAATGCACTGGCAAGGTTTTTGCAACCACTGTCATGTTGAAAAACGAAACTATGAAACTGTTGTCAGTCAAACTCTTCTAAGATGTATTACAGTATTGAATAGTGGATCCAAACCTGACGGTACTTTTATATGTTCACAGTTACACAACTTTTAACAAGACCCTCAACATCACTGGCAAAAAGCAAAAAACGCAACTCCAAACCATCACAGTGTTTTCACGTGGTTGTACCTCTCACTTTCCTCTCTCCTGAAAAAGAGCAGTGCAGCATTTTCCAAGATTTACATGAGAAGTAATTTTGTGACACACTACACTGCTGACATGCACACAAAGTAGAGCAAGTCAAATCTCAGAAGTAGAACCATTTACAGCTTAACCTTAATATTTGCATATTTGCATATTTGCCAACAAAAGTGTTTCCCTTGAAAAAGGAGTTTCAAATAAAAACACAACATGACCAAAAGATAACTTGATGCATTAGAATAAAGTGTCCAGTTTGTGTCCGACCTGCTGAAGATAAAAAAAACAAACAAAACCTGTCTCCTTAGCAGTGAGTTGGTGTCCTAAGAGTATATATTCCACGCATTTGTAAGGCCAAATACTTGGAAAGACCCCGACAGTCTCATGAGTATTGTTTCAACAATGAATAGCGCTCCCTCTAGAGGTTGGAAGCAGAATAGCAGGCAGTTTTAGGAGCCGTTCCTACTGAAAACTGGAGACCTGGCATAAAAAATAAATACATTCAAACCCTGATATAATAATATGAAATACACTTCCTACTTTATACATATTAGACTGCTAATGTTGCTGTAGGCTATAATATGTTTCACCTAAAGATGGAAATAATATTAAAGCTGCTTCTGCTGGATCATTGCAGCTATAAATAATATGTTTACCACAGCTGTTGACACTGCTTCTGCACATTGTTCCCCTTTTTTTCTGGTTTTACCTTTTATTATCACCATACAGCTTTTCTGTTGACTTAGTCCTCCCCTTGGCAACAAAATCACTGATGCTGGAGTTCTGCTTTACACACCCAGACAGCATCAGGATGTTGTTCCCAGGAGGAAACAGCATTCACCATTCAATCCATCTCTGCTTTTCAATAGGAAAAAAAAGATGTGAACCAAGCCAAAGAGATGGACAGATGGTGTTTCCATACAGAATCCGTCCTTTTTGCTTATTGCCAAACTCCTCCTTCACTCATTTCACCAGTGTAGAGTCGTCTTCCCGGGAATCATGTCGCACGGCAACCTTCACCCATATCAGGTCAGCCAGGGCACCCTGACTGCTTACAGTACAGTGTTTCAGTACAGTCAACGTTTTATTTGACTGGACTTAGCTGTACATATGAGAATGTGATGGAGTGGCAGAGCTGAAAGCCTTCTCACTGGCACAAAATGCGAGCTTGTTCCGGTCTATTTCACGTTCTATTTTCACATTGGAGCAATGATGAATGTGTCCTGTCTGAGTTTCCCATAATCAGATATGTCGACAGCTTCTGCATCCAAATGTCAGATGTATGATGCAGCTTTAGTTTCGATCAAACAGGAAGAAGGCCGGTAGCTGTATTTTATTATTTGCTGTAGTTTATTATTTCTCTAAAGTACTGGAGAAGTGATGATAGTCAAGCTGGCTTATTTTGGGCCAACTCATCATGGCACAACCTGTGACATCGTTTGGAGCAGGCATCAAGAAGTGAAGGAAAGGAAAGACAAGAATTAGAACTGTGTTAAGCTCAAAAGGGGGGACACAGTACAACACTGACTTGACACATGTGACTTGAAGAGCTTTTGAAATTCATAATTGGCTAGTTTGGACTGGCTTTGGGTCACCGCTCCAATTGAGTTGTAAGGAGCACAGTGCATGCCAAGAGATCTGTGCGACTATCCTTTTACACTGTAGGCGCAGAATCATCATATTCAGCCGGCAGACGGCAAGTGACACCAAACAATCCGTGAGAGGAGGGTAATTGGAGATCACTGGGCTTATTCTGAGCGTGCCAAGTACACGGTGCTCAAGACCCCTGAGAGAAACATATGGAGCTCCAGTCCCTAAAGCTACTGTCTTGGCAGCCGTGGAATGAGACACGGCAAAGCACTGTGGGTAATGTACAGCAGCATCCAGTAAGAATGCCGCTGGTGCTCTTTGCAGCCTTTATTTGGACACGGCTCGGTCTCATGGGCGCAGATGAGAGAAGCTGAGAGGGAGTGAAATGCTACACTAAAAAAACATCATAAAGCGTAATAAATATGTCACCCTGTTGGTTTAAGGTGTGCAGTCCTAGCAGTAATAAAACTGTAACATCCTCTTTTTTTGGAAAACTGTTTGAAGGAAAAGCCGGTGTGCCAGCTCTGCATCTGTGAAATGAATGACTAAGCTGCTTCGCATCAGCTGTACAGTGCACAGCTCCCTTTGCAGAGAGAAAATATTTTAATAGTGGCTTTTATATGAACACATGAGTGTGTAATCTGTCTCAGATCATAGGCCCTCTGTTGACAGCAGTACACCTGCTCTTCCAGATCTCTGAGAACACTGCCAGTCTGTCTGAACTAGCCAGTGCCAGGGGGCATACTGCATTGGGGAAGGCGTGACTGTGTGTTTGAATAAAAAAGAAGCGGACAGACAGATATAGGATCAGACAGGAGTGTATGAGAAGCTCGGATCTTTGTCAGCTGGGTAGGGATGAGGTGGAGTTGGGTGGGATCTATCTGAACTCATTCTTTGGTGATATGAGGACATAAAGTGTAATATATTAGTCTAAAAAATGTAGGCTACTTCAAGAATGACTTGCACAGGATGGGAAATGTGAATCATTTTAATATATCCATACTTTAATTAGATATTTAAGCCACGAGCCCATTATTGTTCTATTTTGGGCATGTCAAACATTTGGCCTCCAATCTGATACCCAAATCTGGCTCTAGCTTTTTCAGTAAATTTAAACATTTGTTTATGCCATTTTAAGCTCAAATAGTTGAGATATTTCTTTCGTTTACTACAGAAGCATTTCTTTCTCATGTAGAAAAACTGGTGTATACTGTTGAAACTGAACCGCTTTATCTCATATTAAGATCTCTGACAGATTAAATGTGTGATTAAACTTCTTTGCACTGAAAGCAGGGGGTTTCGCCGATCTGGCCCACTTAAGGTCAAAAGTGGCGCATGGTGCAGAATTGCTTTGACATCCCTGTTCTACTTCCTTGGGATTACTAATTAGACCTGGCCTCTGAATTTGACTCCATAACCACTAAATAAAGGAAGAAGTGAAAAATATGAAGTGAAAAAAAGTTGAATGACTTTGTTTAAGGAAAATGACATAAAATCACAAGTTTGCTGATGCAAAGGAGCTGACCTTTATTAAAATAAACTTTACCTTTAACACTTTTTTTTCTTAGTGATTAAAGAAAATCACACATTTAGGCTTAAAAAATGTTCATCTTATGAAGTGGATGTTTTTTTTTTAAATACTGGTACAGATCATAAGAAACATTGAAAACAGGAGAATAGTCCAGCCTCCTACCACTTGGTGGCAGTAGAGTGTAAAAGTTAGCCTCAAGTGGCGTATTAAAAATTGCTAAGTACTTTATTTCACACACTAACACACAAACTGTAAAGCATCCTAGCAGGGAAAATTGGTGATGCTACATTTGCGATATTTGATTTTCCAGACATTCAGAGCAAGGAGGAGAGCAGCTTTTATCACTTAAACCGCTACATCAGCTGGTTGGTGCAACCAACAAACCAAGTGGTGAAAGGCCTGACCTGTCTGTCACTTGGTAGCTGTCGCACTTATCCATGTAAACACTTACCTCATCCAGTGCTGTAATCAAAGTGCTGCTAAGGGCGCAGCTCAGCAGGGCAAAGTGATACTTCAGCATTAAAAAAAGTGAACATGCAGAGTTCATACATGTGAGAAGGAATTTCCTTAAACTGTCAGGACTGCTGGCGAGCCAACGACAGAGAGAAAAAGTGTTAAAAGGCTTGACTGTGACCTCTGACCTGTACATACACACTCACATTTAGGCACACATACTTGATCACAGCTGCGGTGCTCCTCGACTGGTTTGAAGTGTTTTTGAAGGAGCTGAGTTCAAGCACTCGTTGACAGAGCTCTAATTTACACACACACAGGCACACAGACAGCCCTGATCAGATAAGAGCAGATCTGTTTCAGCGGCTAATCTTACATGTGATGAGATTTACAGGGGCTTGTGGCATTGGAATATACATAACTATCTTTATTTGGGAATCAAGCTCTGCCCAGGGCTATATCCTCTATCTCACACTATAGGAACAGGAAACAGGACACTATGCTTTCATGATGAATCCTTTTATATAGTGGCTTGTTTTGGTCTGTGGTTCTCAGCAGTTTTTGGTTAGACCCTGTAGCAAACAATAAAGCCTGGAACACTTACATAAATCACTGTCTGTGAATACAGTTCACCGTGCCATCCTCGAATCCAGGTTAAAGCTCTGTAATGCAATGAAGCTATGTGTTGGCCGATTCAGAGACAAACCTCACTTAAAATGGACTGAGGCAAAGTGGAAATAGTGAAATGCCTCAGTTTAAACATTTGAGATGTCTTCTAAAATATGGGTTTTTGCAAATCAATGCATTCTCTTTTTAATTACATTTTGTGCAGCTTCTCTATTTTTTTGGAATTCTGTTTGTATATAATTACATTACCATAGACTATAAAGCATTGTTCAGTCCACTTGAAACACTGTTATATTAAAAGGCTACAGTGTTAACCAGTTACCACCTCCAAGCAATTTTTAGGTTGGTACTTTGCACTAAAATGAACACCACGCGACACAAACTGCCAACATGTAACTGAAAGTCAAGGGCTGTGCTTTGGCCAAAATTATATGTAAAACTGCTCCTCAGACAGACCATGCAAAAGAGTGTCTCATGTCTGCTCCCACATGACCTGGGCTGCTCCCACTGGCTGCCACTTGCTGTCACTGAGACACTTCCTAACAGGGCGTGGGCAACTCATTAGCAGTAAAACAGCTGATTTGAAACAGGGTTAAAACCAGGGACATTGTAGAGATAGCATAACAGACAATTTATAAAGGATTTCCACCTGAAGATATTTAATTTATGTCATTTCCTTATTTAAACAAATGTCCCCTTTAAAATGTAATTGTTTACGTGTCACACAATAGGTATGTTATGTAGTGCTGTGCATCCATACATAGACCTACTTTAATCAGGAGGCAAATCAAGTTCAGGTGGCACTGGTCTGCATTCACCTGAAGCCTGAGAAAGGGAACACTCTAGTATAATATCCACACTGGAGTTAGTTGGTTGTGGTTGCTAGGTGTACTAACATGGGCTAGAGTAAGCTCATACTGCAGTGCTTAGACCAGGGTGACACCCCAATATGTACATTATAAATGTCAATAGGTCTTTGAAGCATCACAGTTTACTTACTGATTACCCTACTGGTGGTGGTCAGAGGGCCCGGTGGCGCCAGTGTCCGGCAGCCTCGCCTCTGTCAGTGCGCCCCAGGGTGGCTGTGGCTACAATGTAGCTTGCCATCACCAGTGTGTGAATGGGTGGATGACTGGATATGTAAAGCGCTTTGGGGTCCTTAGGGACTAGTAAAGCGCTATATAAATACAGGCCATTTACCATTTACCATTTACCCCACAGGGTACCTTTCTTGTTCTTCATTATAAACATATTACATGTATGTGTGAGTTTTATAGCTTTAAGCAACTTAAAGGCAGCAACATGAACACACACTCAAGAAATATGCTTTGGGTTCATTCAAAATTGCGCACACTGTCTCATTGTACTGCATACGCACACTAACCAGTTGCACAAGAGTGCATCAAAACAGTGCATGGATGAAATAGAATGGCATGCACACATGCACATGCACACTGAATGCCACAGACAATCACACATTTAGTGCTGAAAGACAGGTGCCAAAACAGAAGCATGAGACTAAACTGTTCCAAAGACAGAGG